TGTGACGGTTTTGATGACTGTGGATTGCAGATATTTGGATCTGTTATTATCTCCTCCGGAACTACTGATTGATATACTGTCTCTGGAACTGTCTCCTCGTTTCCATTTCTGTTTGTTCCTTCTGTACTAGAGTATTCTCCATTTAAACTAACCTCGTCTGAACTTTTACGTGAAATTGGCCCTTTGTATGACAATAACTGATCCACATGTTTTCTTACATAACAATTTAAATCATGCACAAAAATAACATACATCCTAGAACCGATTTTTCGTTGTACAGTTCCCAATTTCCAAATATATTTCATACCATTTTTAAATACATGTTTCACCAATACCTTACTTCCTATCGAAAAATCTGTTCTGCGATGTCCCCCATACTGCTTACTCTGTGAGATCTGTTTAACAAAAACATTATTTTGAGCTGTGGATGCTAACGACACTACTGGAGTATTTTCAGGTAGAATAACACGTAATAAATCAAACCGACAGCGCAGTGGCCGCCCTAATAATAATTTAGCAGGTGAAAATCCGGTGGTACAGTGTGTTGAATTGCGATAATTGAACAAAAAATTGTTTAATTTTTTTACAATATCTCTTACATGCGTATTTTCTTTTAATATATTCCGTACTGCCCTTTTTATTGTTTTTACGCTATTTTCAGCCTGACCATTAGACTCTGGGTGGTATGGTGATATTGTAATATGTTTTATACCATTCAATTCACAAAAATCTTTGAACTGACTAGAACAAAAATTCATTGCATTGTCTGTCACTAACGTATGAACTAATCCGAACCTGCTAAACATCTCATCTAATTTATTTATAACTGACAAAGTGTCAGTTCCCGACATCAAAAAACACTCAATCCATTTTGAATGGGCATCGACAGCTATCAAAAATTGGTACTTATCAATTGAAAACATGTCCAAGTGAATACGTTTCCAAGGTTCTGTCGGAAATGACCACGGTGCGAGAGGCGAACGGGGAGGTGAACTACGAAAAGAGTTGCATAAGCTGCACGAACCTATTTTCTCTTCAATGTGTCTGTCAATATTAGGCCACCAAAATCTAGCCCTCGCCTCAGTTTTCGTTCGAACTACGCCGAAATGTGAACTATGCAATTCATTTAATATGCGCTCTCTAAACTTATGCGGTATTACTACTTTGTGACCTCGTAAAATACACTTATTTTCAAACGATAATTCAAAACGACACATAAAGTATGGTTTAACATCCATGTCCGACATCTTAGGAGGCCAACCCGTATTAATATAATAAGCTACTTTCTTTAAAATTACATCTAATCCCGTTTCCTTTTTTATATCCTCTACTGTTATTGGTTTTAAAATAGAATCGTCAATAAAGTTTATATAAGTCGTACGATCAATATCAAAATCTTTTTCTAAATAGTTACAGTTGTGTAATTGACTACACAACTTTAAATTAAATATGCTTATAAAATCCCGACCTAACAATGTTGGTTGATTTCCGTCAGTAGCAATAATAAATAATTTAATCAACTTAGTACACCTCTCAAAAGTGATCGGCAGAGATACGTATCCCAACGGCGATATTTTACTTCCATTATAGCAATTCAACACCACATTACACGACTTAAGGTTATATTTACTTTTAAAACACAACTCGTATATGTGAGCCGGCAGGACTGACACCGCGCTGCCGCTATCTATCTCGCATAGAACGTCGCTATGGCCTATAGACATCACCTGGCGCATCGGTTTTCCGTCCACACATTCTATACTAAATAAATCAAAATTACCTTCAACCATGTCGTCGTGATCATCCACAGTCAAGTATTTACAATTTTTAACCTTAGATTTACACATTCGTTGTAAATGACCTTTGTTATTACACTTTCGACATATGAACTCAGCATAACGACACTTTTCTTTTGTATGGTTTTTATACCCACACACTTCACAGAACACATTTTGATTAACACTATGACGAGCAGTTAAATGTAACCGGCGAAGCTCCGCCGCCGCCGCCGCTTCGGTGCGGGCGGTGCGCAGCGCGTAAACCGGTTCCTCCTGGAGCTGAGGACGCCGCCAGCCAGCCGCGCCGCCCGCGCTCTCTTCTGTCTGCGATGCTTGCAATGCGATCCGGGCACACCGTACATTCTGCGCTATTTCTAACGCCCTACTAAACGTTAGCGTATCAATGGATTCTGCAAATAATTTCTCTTTCTCTCTTGCGTTTTCCAATCCCAGTACAAAACGATCTCTCAAAGCGGTCTCCAGCTCTGTTTTAAATCCACAATACTGCGCTAAATGTCGCACTCGTGCCGCCCATTCAGCCAAATCTTCTCCTAACCGTTGTTTTGCCTTATAAAATTGATAACGTTCTGCAAATGTACTCTTTCTTGAAGAAAAATGAGTATCTAATTTCTCCAAGAGATATTTATATTCTTCACTTTCTAATGGCGTAGGAAAAATGATATCCCGCGCTACGCGGTATGTGTCTTCCACCAAAGCCGTTAATAATAATGCTCGCCGTTTTATTCCACTTTTATCATTCTCTTCATTAATATCATTTGCGGTGCAGTACTGAATAAAACGACTTTTGAATATGCTCCATTCCTGAGAGCGGTGGTCAAAGGTGAGGCTACCGCCGAACATTATGTTTCCGTAACCAGCCATCACATACATTAACAATATAATTTTATTAATGCAGACTAAATTACACACGTGAATTATTACTCGTCGCCAATTTGTACTGTATTTAAATATTTAAATAAATAAAATGCTAAATTGCGCTTCACATTTAATTAGGCCGTTCCCGCCATTTTTACAATCAGGCTCTGTCAACTGCACAGAGTACGTTATGAACAATATTAATTATGCCACAGACTATATATACTACAAAAATATAATAAAATATAATAGTTACTAATAGTAATTTAACAAAAACTAATTCTAACTGTTTAAACAAGGAAGTCGCTGCTTCTTTCTTTATTTACTTACTTACAGTCTTATCTTTTTTATTTATGAATTTAGGAAGTGCCTCAAATTCTTAAATGATGTAATATTTATTACGCTACATACTTTTTCAACATAGTAAACAAAGTCATCCTAAAACTGAGTCTGAAACTCTAATTTGTTTAATAGACAAACAAAATAAACAAGAAAATCCATTTAGGTACTATTATTATTATAGTAACGTTTCATATAATATCATTTCGTTCACACATATCCATGTTACGAAAGAATCTCAGTTCAGTCATCAGTTCTTCAGTTATTATGACGCCTATTTGTCACGTCAAGTCTCCGACTAAAGGTGACTTCGATAAAAGGAATGTGGATAGAGGACGACAAGAATATAGGTAGTACAAATGTCTGGAAGGATTTATGAGGAGTAGGGTTACTGCAGTAACGGGATTAGGACGTGAACAGTAACCGTTAATCCAACCCCGTAACTGTAGTATCCAATAACTGTAACAACTCGGGAGGGATTAATGACCTTGTGTTCCGACTCTACCGCAACTCGCTAAATGGAGGGACACCCCTGAAAAAATTAACGTAACAAGAATAGGTATAAAAATATTGGATGTGCAAGTGACTTCATTACAATTATAATATATGTAAAGATTATGGATGCATTTGAATCATCGTTACTAGATTCTATAAACATAATATTAAATGAATGTGTAACAACATATTGAAGTATGCTAATTAGAATGCAAAGCAATCAGCACCTGCATCCTATAACGAACGTTACCAATCATGTTGAAGAGAGTGATACGTGGTTTACAATCATCTTATTTAGTCATGTATGATTTACGTTGGTAATTGATATATGCTTGTACGCATTACAATACATAACAATTAAGTAGGTACACACTAAGGAATGTGGGAATACTAGAAAATTATCGGCAAATTGAAACGCAAAGGTAAGTAGAAGTGGTATGACGGGATATAGTGTATGATGTATTGCGCAGTTGATGTGTTGTATGCACCGGGTGCAACTCTTCTACTCTTTGAGTATAAGAGTAGGTAGTACATATTTATGACTGGATGGTAGATGTTTAGAAGTATTTAATCTACTTTCACGATAATGACAACTATTGACGTCGCTGTTGACATATGAAATGCTCATATTGCTTATTCATTTGAATCCAACATGTCTGGGAACAAGCCTACCTTTTGCGAAGTTCTCATGTTTTTGGTGCCAGCTAAATTTGTACTCGCAAAGTTATAGAGTGTAATAAAGTACTAAGCCACCAGCCAGTACTAGTTTTCTATAAATATTGTCATCATAAGAAGTTTTCCTATGAAATAAATAAGATTTTTAACTAATCAAATAATAATTAATACACTGCTTTAATTCTATTATAAAAAAATTAAGACATGAAATGTTCAGTAGTAACGAGCATTATTTGTAGTTGGGATTTTTCTATGTATATTACGTATAAAAAAGTATTTCTATCAGTTATCTAGTACACATAATATTATTATTATAGTCTTTTTATCTTTTCTTTCTTTTCTTTTATTAATTTAAAAGAAGGTAATACCCATACGGGCCTTAGCCATGTCTGGGAGAGGTTGTGCTGTGTGAAGATATTATTGAGGAGGTCAAGAATTTTCGAGTTACGCGACAGGTATTTAGTACTGTGGCTTTTAGTAAGAGATGTGTTTTACATGGGTGAATATTTAATGTTTGCAAACTATTTTATTATTATTATTATGTAACGTAAACATAGGCGAATAAACCATTTGATATTAATAAAAAAGTAGTTTTAAACAAAGTATTACATATAAGTGAAGACAGTAATGTACTGTGTGAATGACAAGATAGGGAGTAAATAATGATTACGAACACGGATGAATAGAAGAGAAAAACACATTTGGCCAACCTCAAATGAATGGGATAAGTGAATAGTAGACGATGAGCTGGAAATCTATATTATCATGTTGATAACAATGCGATTTCACCTGGCATAAGGAAGAAGCAAATAATGAGTATCACAAAGCAGGACTTACCGTACTGATGAGCACGTAAATAATGTGCAGTCAATCTGAGGACGCCGGTTTTCTCAATCTTGCGACTGGCAGCGACTACCGGGGGCACCATCGACGCCAACTCCGATATTGACTGGTTGAGTTTGTCGCGTCTCTGCTTCTCAGCTTTGTTGCGAATCTCCCTCGGGTTATCTCTGAAATGGAATTGCAATGTTAGTTTGTACATTTAATTAAACGGTCTCAGTGGTCTAGTTTAACACATCGTCTTACTTCCGATGGTCGCTGGTTCGATTACTCGTATAAAAATTTTAATTCATGACTTGTTGGTATCAGTCTGTTTGTTTACTATATTTGTATTTACATGGTGGTTTGAATTGTCCAGGGTTTATTATTTATTATATTTTCGTGATAATGGAATAGCGCTCCCGCTTGCGGTAACGAATCATGAGGTCCGATCAGAACCCATGGTGATAATTTCACCAAGAATCATCATCATATGTATAATATATATAACGTTCCATCATTATATATATATAATGAAGGTTTTCATCTATGCCAGGAAGAATATAGACAGTTTCAAAAGAGTTAGTGATTGCACCAATAAAAGCTTACGTAACAATAACAAACTGATTTTACCTAAATGTCGTTTGGCTAAAGTTAGTAATTCGTTTTATGGTAATTGCGTAAGGTTTTACAATAAAATACCAGAGTCTGTAATAAATCTGCCAGAAAAAAGATTTAAATGTCAAATAAAACAGTTCCTATGCAAAAAAGCTTACTATAAAATTGAAGAATTAATGTTTTTATAGAAAAACTTTAAATCCATAACACTGACAATATTATCTGGTTACAATAATAATGAGTGCGTAGCGATTTCTATGTTGATTATCGCATGCCTCTTACTTGTTAATACTGTAGTTATTTATATAAAAAAATCTATTGAAAAGAGCAACACACAATTTCTTGCTCATTCTTCTTGTGATGAATCTGCATTCCGAATAAGCGGAAAAACTCGACTATTCAAAAGTGATTATATTAAGTTATTTGAATAAAGATTATTTCTATTTATATTTCTTTCATTAGAATGAAGTGGGCATCAAGACTAGAAGAATAACAATTTTTTTTTAGATCAAATATAGGATAAGTCCGTCTTATTTATAACGTTACGTCTTATCTATTTAATCTAAAAAAACTCATTCGAAGTAGCGGGTAACAATAAATGTTTCATACCACTATATAACATATCCGTATGTGTAGACAATATTGAAACACGTCTATTGAATCGCAGACAATATGACGTCCATCTCATCAAGGGTTGCCAAGTTACCACAGCTGGGGATACGCATCTAAATAGTTGCAGATATTATTTCAATTGTATATTAAACATTTAGCTTCAATGGTGTCATTGTATACATAATTCTTTATTGTACTTCGTTTCATTGAAAACCTGAAATGATTTCGATTCTGCTAAGAATTTGTAGTATGGGGTGCAAATATTGTAGCATTTGTAATAATAATGATTTCAGGTTGACCTCCATGCGATTCCCCCCGGGAAATTGATAAATTCTTGGTGAATTTATCACGATAAGCTAACTGACCTGACTTTATGTTTTGTTAGCGCAGGCGAATATCGATATCGATTAAAAATATATATATGAAATCCCTGGACAATTCACACAGCATCCAGGCTCTGCACTATGGGTACTAGACAAATGATACAAATACTGGGTCCGCAACAGTGCAACGATATCTAGTGCCTCAGGAGCCGACAATCTGACATATTTGCAATAGTTGTTAGGATGCTCTTTGCGCTAAACATCAGTGATGCAGCTCTTTTGCGCATTATGGCTTGAAAACCATAGCTAGCCACAATACGCTACAGAACCAAGGGAGCCCCAACAACATCCTAAACCTATTATTATATTGCACGCGAAAATTAATGCTCTATCCAAACTGAGTAATCCTATTTCAATATAGAGTCAATTCCAAAGCATTATCTTACAGCCAAATAGCCTTCGACAATTCATCAATATGGTTCTGGCAGCCAGTAGTAGCTCCTAAGATTTTAAACCTCTTGGCTTCCAACATTGTAAAGTTTAGGGAATTGGAAAATTGCACCATTCGAAAATAGAATTATTGAATGTTTATAAATAATTGCTTTTATGTAATCAAACATCTCAAACGAAGTAATTACATTGTAACCGAGTATTAAATGGCGAAACATGCCTTTTTAATCAACATAAACCTCAAATATTTGAAGTGCAAACGAATGTTGTAGCTGTGTAATATCCGTATCATTTCCGCACGATAGAGTACTACATTAAATAGAGGTGTAAATTTCAGTAGGTACCCTACTAGTTTAATTTCGAGAATTGTATTACTCAAACAAAAGTATGACTACTTTGTTTTGTTACTAAATTCCAAATCTTAGATTGTAGTGTAGCTAATTGCAATTTTTCACACGAAATCAGAATCTTATATAACTACACATCAGTTTGAAAAGTTACAGCTGAGGTTCTTGTATATTATTATAAGCATGATTTGCATTACGTAAGTGCCATGGCCGTAGTATTATAAAAATACTATTAAATAATGCTTATTCAAACATTAAATTTATTGGTATAAAGATTATATCTACTATATATATATTACATTCTATAAATTATAAAAAAAATTTGGAAACTCACATAGCGCAATCTAGTCTCATATTGAAAAGGTCAATTGCTATACATTGGAAGTAATTATTATAATCTTATGAATAATTAACATTCGGCGTCCGTCTGCTCTGGTATACGTTGGCGGTCCACCATTGAAAGATGTGAGATAAGGACAAAATCATGGGGTTTTTCAAGAAGAGTATATTAAGTTTTCTTAAGGGTCGGCAACGCGCACGTGATACCTCTGGTGTTTCAGGCGTCCATAGGCTACGGTAACCATTTACCATCAAAGTAGTAAAAAAAAATTACTCGAAAATCTTAGTTTCCATTTTCCTTACGCTGCTAGTAATTAGTTTAGCAGTTGCCATAAATAACGAATGTTTTAATTTAAATTTTATTACAGAGAATAGAATAGAACATCCTTTATTCAAATAAACTTAATGTAAGCACTTATGAATAGTCATAACAATTTTTTAATCTACTGTATACATTACGCAGTGGCGCTGCATACACTTTAGGGCGAAACAATGAACATCTATGACCATTTTGTGTTGCAGTGCATTGCAGGTAATTACAATTTTATTACTCATTCAACATACTTTATTTTTGTTGTTATTACTTTTTTGTTGCTATCTGTATGCTAAAATTACAAATTAATGATTTATTGTACTATCAATGTAGTTATATACTTTTTGTGTTCGTAATACGAAGTAAATAATGGTGCTTCTTATTGACTTGACTTTCGTTAATATCTGTACATACATAGAATATTTCGTATATATAAAACTTCTATAAAACAATTTCTAAATACGTAAGATATTTAAATCTATTGTATGTAAAAGATCTAACACTATAGACAAATAATACCTCATTAAGACAGTCTCGGTAGTCTAGTCGTTCTACACACCATCATACACCGATGACGGGTTCGATGTCGAACGATGCAAATATGTAATACTTTTAGTATATCTTACTAATATTAGAAACTCTTTCGCGCAAAAACTACTCAACGGATTTTGATGAAACTTTACAATAATATAGCTTCAGATATCTTGTAAATTGGGCGAAATATAATGAAAATGATAAGTAAGTGCGATGCAAGTGAGGTTGCGTATTGAATAATTCTATCTAATGTATTTACTTAGATTGGGACTAGATGGAGGTACGCAATATATATGAATTGCAAGCTCTGTTGTCCCGTGTACTATAAAAATATTGATGCTGCGATAGCGTATACCGTCCACCACCTCATCATAATCCATTATGTACAATATCCACATCACATATCACACATCCAAGTATCAACAATTCATATGAATTATATTGCGTAAAAAAATAAAATAAATATTACATTAATAAATACTACTAATTACTAGTATAAACTATATTTTTATAAGTAAAATGATATATGACATGAATAGATCTTATCTAATATTGTAAGTGCCAAAGTACTTTGTTACTGGTTCCTCATTTTTTTATACCAACCGTCTATTTAAATCGCGTATAATATTGGTTACTCTATACTGGTCAATCACGGTCAAAGTCGAGGACATAAACAAGCTGTTATAACGTAAACTTAAAAATTTTGTCTTTCATATAGTTAGTTTCAGTATTCTTATACTTATGTGTAGGGATCTCATTTAAACCGATGCCCTATAGTTATATTTATAGCATGTGCAGCGTAGGTTAAGACTGCAATAAATCCATGACTCATTGTACTGCGCTAAAATGATTAGTTGATCTTCTTGTTTGCTCTCAGAAGTTAATTCACGATTGTTTGAAAATGAACTCTATTAATGGAATAAGATTAGTCACATATTTATAACCTATCGGAACAAGTATTGAATGATGAAGTATTTTGTTATTGCAAACACCGAGCTGTGCTATTAGCAATTATAATAACAACTTTGGACAATTAACACAGCGTCATCTAGTTTCAAGCTAAGTAGAGCTTGTCCTATGGATTTCACGACCCGTTACATAGAATCCGATTTCCTAAATTTGATTACCATATGTGAGATGTGGATAAGGTTATGTGTAATAACTGGTAAAAATCCTTATTACATTTTTACAATACATACACACTATATACGGATGCAAATGGTTGATCCTGCGAGGAATGGAATCCGTGATCATTGGAAGGTACTGAGCTGAACCGCTAGACCATCTAGGCCAGCTGACAACTAATTTATACATCAATTCCTATAAGTTATTAAAATTAATTACTATAGGTATAACGAAACGGGAATAATTTAATTAAGCCCCCAGAACTACGAAACAATGTCTTTGTATACAGGATAGTATTGTTTGATAGACTGACGACGGAGTTGCGAGTTAGAAGTCCTAACTAACTGTTCACAATTGTTACAGGAATTCCGCTGCAGTAACCTATGTAATGAATCTGTGTTTTAACTTGTACATTTGTACATAGTTCCAATGAGCACTGACTTTGACAAAGCCTCATCTCTATTTCATATATTTCTTTACAGCAAAGGTATTTTCAACGACATATATATATTGTCCTTGGATAAGTGTGA